GATTTAGATAATTTACAAGCATCATTGCTTATCTCTCAAATCATGGACATATTAATTTTCTGAAAGCGCTGCTAATTAAAAACACCTTTTGGAAACAGTTTGCCTTTGGCCAACAAGCAGAAGTGTTGGCAGTAAAAGACAAGAATGGTTTGAATTGTCATCCCAGGGCTGTGGGGGAGAGGGAAGGAGCTATGTGAACTAACAGCTAGTGTGTAGAGCTGCAGTTCAGAATAAAATCAGAGCATCATTTGGCATCCATGCATCCGTGCAACCCCTGTGTCTTGGAGCCCATCAGAAGCCTGCTGCTCTGTGGCTTCTGAGTACAGGGTGACCTCTCTGTGTCTGCCAGTTGATGCTAAGTACTGAAATTTGAATTTGTATAAAAGTATACTGTGCTAGGAACATGCAGTGTATCTGTGATTTATCCTGACAGCGCTAGGAACTCAGACTGACTGCACAGAGACTGAGGAATTAGTGCTTCTGCATTTGCTTCCCACTTGCTCTCTGTTATTACCTTCACTGGGCCTTGCTGTCCCTAGCTGACTAAATGCATTATGTGAGTGGGAGCTGGCGAAGTGCTTTGGGATGGCAGGTGTGAGAATGGCACTCCTGGTGAGGCCAGGAGCCTGCCCAGCCCCTGCTGGCACAGTGGCACTGGGAGGTACCATTGAGGGGGATGACACAGTCCTGGCCACCTTTCACTGTCCCTCCCAGAGGATCAGGAGGTGTGATGCTAACCTGGGTGGATTTCACCTCCTGCAGTGCTGGCTGTCCTAAGTGCCTAGCCTGATCAAGGTGCAAGCTACTTCTGCCCTCAGTGGAGGGAGTGGACTGCTCCTAGAAAGTGAGTCACTTGCTTTTCCTAACCACCCTTACATGGACAGTCCCCTGAGCTGCAGAAAATGTCGCTTTTCCCCTCCCCTGCCCTATTTGTGAGGCTTTGTCATGACCCAGACCAGGAATTCAACATGAGTCACCAACAAGCCAGCCCTATTCCTGCTCCCTTTGCTTTTTGCAGGAACTTAGGATTTTAGGGTGGTTTGCTGCTCCCTTGCTGAGACCCCACAGAGCACTTTGAGATGGAGCAGCGCTGCAGCGGGGAGCCAGGAGCTGCTCCAGGCTTGGCAGGGGTGTCACAGACTCGTCTGTCCTCCCACAGCTCCGGCTAGACACGGAGCTGCTGAGCTCCTGAGAGCCCTGGGCGTGGTGATTTTCCCTCTGCTCACTCTCCACCGTGCACGTCCGTGTGTGGGCTGTGCTGCCAAGGTATAATGTGTGAGCAGAGGCAGATGTAGAGCACGGTGAGTCAGTGTGAGTACGCTACAACCTTGGCTCCTGCTAGGGATGCTTTTGTTTTCGGCTGTGCAAGCTCTCGGAGAATATCCTGGAAACTGTGGGATTGTCACCAGAGTTTTGTTCATCTCTGTTTTAATGTGTGTGCCTCTGATTTGGCACTGCATCATCAAAGTGTCAAGATGCACTCAGAAGAATAAAAAAGAGAGGCAATCAGTGCGTTTAGCATGAACATGTCGGATATTATCAGGTGCAGAAATTTCTAACTGTTGGCTGCCTGAAAAAGATTTAAAAAGTAATAGTAAAACTTGAAGGGAAATGCTTCGGACCCATTTTATTTAATTTATATTTCTTTTGTTTGAAAGAATACACCATGGGTAATACTTTAAATCATCTAAAATCTGACAAACTGACTTAATTCAAAATATATGCTAAAAATCTCACGTTCTTTTGGACCAAAGCATATGTGCTGGGCAACAACTCTGTATCAAAGCTTTGCATCTGAGATTTAAATACCTTTTCAAAAGGAATCCTGTACCATAAATGCTATCAGATGTTTAATTAAGACAGCACAAGCAAGGAGCGTGTTTGCAATAAATTATGGGGATGTGTTCTGACAGGCTTTATCTATGTAAAGATTTCTATTTTTATGTGAAGCTATTTACAGATTATTGATTTCAAAAATAGATTTGTAACTAAAGAAAGATGCATCATATTTCAGTTGCTTGGAGTTGAGAATCCTGCCCGGCTGTCTGCCCGCTCTCTTAGATGTTTATTACAGTGGCTCACAAGTCTATGGAGTGATTCTGTCCTTCCTATTTTTCCTCTCTGTTTGGAAGAGGGAATTTGTATTCAGGAACCAGGTCCCAGGTTTCTTACCCACGCAAGCAGGCTGTTTTTTATGCCTTTGAAGCACAGAACAATTTCAGTGAAGTCTGTGAGGCTTTTTGCATGAGTAAGACTTTGGGATGACGAAGGTCCCTCGCAATATATTTTGTCAGTTGTCACTGTTTTGTTTCAGGGCAGCAAGCTGTTGTCACAGTGTCAGTGGAGCCTGCTAAGCTGTAAGCCTGCCTTTGAGTACGTGTAATAGAAACCTTCAGCATATTTTTTTGCTACTTAATGCTATGTGAACATTAGAAGAAATATTTTAATAAATCAAGGCAAAGCCTGATGGTAGAAGTAATATTTTTCATTAGAAGAACCTTTAGAATTTGAAAACTTGCAAGCTTGTGTACCCAAGAGCCTGTCTATTTTTTTCAGCCATACCAGTTGGTCTAATAAAAGATACTGTCTCTGTCTACAAACCTTGTTGTGCCTGCAAACTGTGTTGATTGCATCTACAGCAAAATACTGCTGGATTATTGAAATAATTCAGGCCTTCTTTGCTTAATTATGGAAACTCAGATTTTTGTGGCTTCCTCAAATCTCAGCTTTTTGAATCCCAACACACATGAAATGATGCTGTCTGGTTTCTCATACTGTACAGGAGGATTTCATCACATAGGAGCTCAAACTGCTTCACTGATTCCTTATATTAGAATGGATTTTACAAAGGTAGCCTGCTAAAATTCTTCTGCCGTCTGGATTTGAGGATATTTTGTAGGATGCTGTCGGTGTGTACTGTCTGGCATGGATGGCCTCTGGAAGCAGTCCTAGCCCAGTACCTGTGTCAGCATGTGATGTGCTGGTGTGGGGATGGAAGCAGAGGAAACGGGAAAGGGCTGGCAGAACACGACGTCTCTGGTGTAGTCTGTGGGTGTAAATGTTTGAATCTTGCTCTGTGTGTGGCTGGGTGAGCAGAGTGGTGTAGCCCTTCTAAACAGCAGGAAGCTTGGATTTGAACTTGTTTGGAAGACCTAGACCCAGAGCTGTCTAACAGTCCTAAGGCTGAGTCCTAATGCAAGAGTCTTTTCAGAGCTTTTTAATGTGCCTTTTAGAGGCCTTCAATGGGTGTGTCACTTGGACCCAAATCTGGAGTTCTAGGCTAGTAGCTTCAAAATAGACCAAGATAGTGATGATCTGGACCATCTTGGAATGTCCATGGAGAAGCTGCTTTTCCACCCTCAGAGAGCACAAGCCCTTGCTGTAGTTTGCAGACTTGGGTTGTTCCCGGCTCACTCCCTCTGCTGCAAGCCTTGGCTGGGTGTGTGACCCTTGCAGGAGCACTGCTCCTCTCCTGAGCAGCCCTGCTGTCCCTGAGCAGCCTTGCTGCAGGCAGTGCCCTCCCTTCCCAGTGAAATGGGAGCAGGTCGGTGCCCGAGGGGCGTTCACTTCTGTGTCCTGTGTGCCTTCTGTCTGCCTTTGGGCATGGCTCAAATAGATAGCTGGTAATTGCTTGTAAAGCCCTTGGTGGCTGTGGCTGGGGCTATTTTGGAAGCTGATTCCCCCTGCATGCCCTGTTGTGGAAGCTGTGGCTGGCTGGAATGGCCTGTCAGCCTCTCGCTGTGGTGACCTCCTCTCCTGGGTGTGTGGCAGGGAATTCAGGGGGGGAGCTCTCAGCAGTGGCATGCAGTCTCTTGGGCTGCCTGCCAGGGCCTGGATTTGGTGACCTTTTGGATGTGGCAGAAGATGCATTTGTAAACCTTGGTTATAGTAACTGGGAGAATGTTGGAGGAGGAGGAGGAACGTACTTTTTACAGACAGGCTGTCTGCTCTCTGAGTACAGCAAGGGCTTGTACTCTCTGATGTTTATGACCAGCAGATAGTAGGGAAATATACTAAGAAGTGCTGTGACAATTGGAACTGTTGCTATTTAATAGAATTTAAAATGAAGAAATGATACACATTTCCTTGAGGAGCATGCATGTGACACTGAGAGCGCTGTGACTTCTAGCACTGGTTTGAACACTTACTCTTCTCTCTTCTTCACTGGAATAATTAAATTCCCTCCTGTAAAATAAATGCAGTCATATTTTAGAGGTGTCCAGATGTAGTTGCTATATCATTACCCATGTAGTTTGTGGGTGTTTTTGTTTCTTTTAAGAAGAGCAAACAAGCCAAGACCTGCACTCCAGCAGTTGTGTAGGTTACACCAGGCGTGCTAATAACAAAATTGGGAAAGGTGCTCCTCTTTCCTCATGGCAGGGCCCTCCTGATGAGAAGGACTGTCTGTGGTTGGGTGGTGACAGCCAGCACTTGAGAAGGGGTGCTCGTGTTTGTGAAGATCTGCTGGTGAATATTTTCATCGCTCAGGTTACAGGTTTGCAGTGCGTTCTTGCTCTGCCTGAATGTGTCTGACCTGCAGAGGACAAAGGATCATCTTTCTGCTTTCCTTCCAATTGTTTCTGCTAATTTAGCATCAGTTTGAAGCTTAGTCTTTGCTTGGAGATCAAATGGCCAGGGACAAAGCTCTTTGTTTTCACTCTGTGGTAAAAGTGGCAAGGTCAGTTCCAGTGGGGCTTGTACAGTTTACACTGCTGAATTTATCTCATGTATTGAGGATTTTCTATCACCTACAGGTAATGCATATTGGTAACTCTAGCATCAAAAAATACCCCTTTTCAGCAATGAAAACAAGGTCTCTGTTTATAAAGGCATTTTTTACCACAATAGATAGGAATGTCTTTGCAGCCATATAAAACAGCCTTCCCAGCTCTCTGTTTTAACATCTCAAAGAGCAGCATCTTACTTGACCTGCATACTCAGGTCAGGCCACTCAGGAAGTCTTGCAGAGTACCTGGCAAAACAAACTTTGAGCTTAAGCAAGCTTTTCTTTTCTATCTCTTTCAGAAATAAGTAAGCATTTGAAGATGACAACCTCATGGAGCGACCGACTGCAGAATGCAGCGGATCTCCCTGCGAACATGGATGGGCACGCTCTGAAAAAGTACCGCCGGGAAGCCTATCACCGGTAAGGCGTCCCTGGAGCTCCAAAACTAAACATAAACCCCACGTTTCTTGGGGATTTTCCCTTGTTAGTAAAACAGGAAGGTTGTTTTTACCTTCCACGTAGAAGTTGGTAGAAGAGAGCTTAGAAGATGGTACAGTATTGGCCTGCAGGAGTTTGCAAAACTCTGAGTTGAGATGCATGTACTAGAGCGAGTGATGATGTGCTTCTTATTGCAGTCAAAAGATTAATTAAAGTCAGATTTTGGATAGAAGTTTTCAAGTCAATAAATAATCAGTGGCAGAGGTTTTATAATAATTATTGCAGTGCATACTGGGAGAGTAGAGCCTTAGACACTGGAATGTACAAATACGAATAAGGAAGAAATCAAATGGCATCAGAAATTGTTTGAGAATTACACCTAGTGTGATTAACTGTGGGACCACAGGAGCATGCAGGAGCACTAGGCAAGGACCCAGCCTTCTCACTGTTAGGTGTAAAACCATCAGAGTTCAAAATAAAAGGGATGTTGTCACTCTCAGTTTATAGTGTGGGAATAAAAGTGCAGGTACTAGGTTGTTTTTACAAGATCACATCGGAGGTTTGGCTGATCCAAGAATTTAGGCCACAGCTCTCAAGGTTCCAAGCATAGAGCATAAAAGTGGGATGAAGTCTGTATCCTTATCAGATGTCTGGACTGCTACAGAGTTAAAAACAACAGTATCTAGTAATTGTCAGTATTCTGTTTGTGGGAGGTGTATCTTCAAAGTTTAGCTTCGTTATTTTGAGAAGTCATACAGTGTGATGATGAGAGGATATTCAGCAGAAGGGGAAATGTATGTCTGATGTAGAAACAGAAACATTTAACCTCATGCTTAAATGCCACGTTGCATTTGTGATTCACATTGGTGGTATTTCTGGGGAAGTGTTTTGGAAGTGTTAGATATCCTTTGATTCTCCAAATGGAATCTAATTTGAGAAAAACGCCTCAGTGCATCATATGATTGGCCAGGTTGTGCAAGTTGCAGTGTCCAGGGCTAAGTGATGGATCCTGTGATGCATTTCCAAAGCTTTCCAATTTCCAGTGAATATGTTTGAGCAACCTGTCCTAAGTGGTGGCATTATTTGAATCTCTCTGTCAGCTGGTCTGTCAGATATGAACAGATACAGTTACATTTAATGAATGTAACTATATATAGCATGTAAGAAGAGAGAGATTTTATACCATTCCCTGTCAAAAAATCTTCACCTTGTTGCAGTCATTGACAGGTTTACCTTTGTGTCATAAATTTATTTAAAACTTCAGCTGTGTTACTCCTGAGTTGGATTGATGGAAGTCAAGTCAGAGTCATACCTATATTTTTTTTCTAAGTATTTCTTTAACATTTGTTATGTTTAAGTGCTGACAGTTTGCTAAATGTTGTACAGGATCCAAAGGAAGCCATGCTTGTTTTTAAGACTTCATACATTCAACTCCTCATCATGTTTACCCTTACTTGTGTAAGAGATCCTTACTTTCAGAAAGAATTTCCTTATGGAAGATGGGAGTGTAGTCACATAAAGGAGGGCTTCCCACTAGGAGCTGGGATCTGGTGGCCCAAAATTAGTCTGTGGTAAAGTTTAGGTACCTGTTTTTAACATCTAGAAATGTCTTAGGCAAAACATACTGAGCAGAAATGCTGCTAGCATCTCAGATTTTCATGGGAAGCACAACATTGGAAATATTAGGGAAGCGCAATATTAAGGAGAGGCACGTTTTTGTTTTGGAATTGCTATCCTCTTTCAAAGGGAGAAAGAGGGAGGGAATGGGAGAGAATGAGAGAACCTGATGCCAAGACTGTAGTATAAATCTGTGCTATTAATGGCTTTGGTATACCAGTTTCATGGGAGTTATTTTGATAATCCAGTATTGTGAGAATCTGAAACAACCTCATTCCAGAGGCAGTGTTGTCAGATTTCTATTTCTGGTACTTTTCATGGCTGTAGTGTTAACAGATGTGATGTTACTTTAAAAAGTGCAAACCTGACATGATAAAGTATGACTGAAGTTATTTCCCCTTGGTGTTTGATATTATATTTTTTAGTGTTTTATTAATGCTTTATATGCAGAATACATGTGCTGGTCACAGCCAGGAGTTGTAGGATGTGAATTTGTTTCACTAAGGTCCAGGTATGCTCTGACTCTCTTCTTCTTCTTTGCTGAAGCACTGCAAATTTTATGAAAAAGAGAAATAGAAAATACATGGTGTCATTGTCGAGATTATTTTCTCTTTCTTCTTTTTTTTTCTGTCTCTTTTTTTTTTTTCCTTACTCCAGCAGCTAAAGGAAAGATTCTTGAAAACATAAATCTAAAGTGACTTAGAAACAAAACCAATAAGAACATTGCATTTGAACCTATTATATTTTTGTTACCTTAAAGCTGGTCAAAGTTATTTTATGAGCCCAGTCTGAAAGGCTGGAGCAGCTTGGCTGCTACACCACATTTACAGAGGAGAATAAGTGGGACTAGCTTTTGTTACCTGTGTTGAAAGCTTAGTTGAGCTCAAATTCAGCAGATTTTCTAAATGCTGCTAGGAATTCTTAGTTTTCTGAAGTGTGAAATTTAAAAAACTTGTTTCACTGTTTGCTTCATGCTTACTTAAATCCTGGTGGAGATACCTAGGCCAATCATTCTTGTTCTCATGAAGTACACCAGATTTGATACGCTTGAATTGTAAATGAATTCAGACAAAATAAGGAGAAAAGTTTACAAAAGCAAAATAGTTTACCTTAAAAAAATATATAAATGTTCTTGTGACCATGAAACTTTTAAAAAACTTTTAAAAACTTACCTCTAAAGATACCACTCTAATAGTTATAGTTTACGGTGGTCATTCTTACTTGGAATGTGTTTTTTCAGGTGCTACACTTCTAATTGTATCATAATTGGTGGATGGATGTTCAACATATAATAATTGTTGGCAGAAGTCCCAGTTGAGACTGGTTTAACTGGTGTAGTGCATACTGACTCAGAGTATAATGACTATATCGTAATCATATCTGAATGCCATGGGCAAGAATGTTCAGAACCAAATTTTTGTAGCTATAGAATCAGAAGAATCTGTTGGGGAGGAGAAGTGGTGGGGTTTTATCTTCAGGGAATTTCTGCCAACTTTGATGAAAGCTCTTGGTTGGCGGGTGTTGCTGTCAGACCTTGTTACACAACACTGCTGGCGCCTGTCAGAGGTGAGGTCTGAGGATGAATTAATATGCAAGCTGCATGTTACTCATTCTCTAGCAGAGGTCACTGGTAAGAGGATACTGCATTACTGTGCTATTGGCAGCACAGATTTTAATTCAGAAATAAAATGGATGTGCAGTTCTTGGGAGGCTTTTCCCTGGTGTTTGTGGTGGTGAGGCCGCCTCCCTCGTGTGCTGCTTGTTGACTTTTCCGGGTAGAGAGTAATCTCCAGATCACTTTGCTGGAGGAGCACTGTCATTTAATGGGATTGTAATTAGGCAAGAACTAGGTTGACTCTGAGCCACCAAATTGCCCTAGTGTCTATTTTTTAACTTGGAGTGAGCACTTCTAGGCACCCTCTGGATTATCTCACATAGCTCGTTAGGGTTTAAATAGCAACCCCATCTAGTTAAAGCAAATAATGGAAAAAGTTGGTGTTCCATCCACTCTTGTAACTGACAGTTACCAAGATCCAGGAAACAGGTATTTGCACTTATATTTATTTATCTGTGGTTTTGGCTTAACAGAGCAGTAAGGCTGAAATGGTCTTTTTGTTAAACATACTGGCTTTGGGACGCTTCTACCATTTTGCACCAGAATAATTTGAGACTTCTCATCCTGAATGTGGGGTTTCTGTTGTTGTTTTAACTGTTGGGTTTTTTTCTTGCTCTCTTGTTTACTGGCTGGTGCAGGGTGTGTGGCAACATGATTCCTAATCCTAATTCTCCTGCTGACTGCTGATAGAGTATTAAGTAAGTTGCTTCATAGTTATGTACTTCAGTTTGCTTTCAGAGCACCTTATGGTGGTGATATAAGTGATTTTAGCAGTTACTATACACTGAGATTCTGGACTTAAAACTAGTATATGCTTTAATAATGACAAAGCAAAAGGATTGCCAATTGGTTGTTTTGATTTCATGGATTAAAGATGTACTTTAGCTTGTTCAAATTTGTAGACTCTGGGCTATTCACTGCTAATCTTGTTTCTTTACTTAATTGTTACTGGATCATCAGTGATTGCAAACAGGTGGAAATGTTGTATAAACAAGGCTGTGAGACTTGAAACTGTCCATCTGTTTAGGTGGTTATATTTAAAGTGCCTTCAAAATGATCAGTTCACTGAGGTGGAAAACCAGAACAAATCTTTAGCAGTGTGAAAGTGCTCTTTGCATGGAACACAACAGGACAGGCCATGTGTGGTGTTCCCATGTGCTGGGCAGCTCTGGAGGCTCTGCTGGCCATGGTCTGTCCTGGTGTCCCCTGGGACCTGTGTGGTGACATCTGTGTGACAAAGGGCAGCCTGTGGCTCTCTCTGCTTTGTTTAGTGCTTTGGACACTGGAGGAGGAAGGGGGACTGAGTCCAGCCTGTAGATGGGTGAGTTTACAAAAAAGCACACCACTTGCCAAATTAATAATGAAGAAATTACATTGTAAATGTCCCATGATCCTCAGCTTTAATAGTTTCAGGGAGCAGACAAGTGTTATTTTGGGATGGAATCCATATGTGAGCTTCTTGGCACTTTGCTGTTGCCTGGGAAGAAAACCCAAACAATGAGAACAGAAATGGCCAAGGCTCTCTCTTTGCATCTGATTGCTGCAGAATCAGAGGGAAGTGCTCATAGCTGTGTTTCTGGATACAGCCTCATCAGGCTTTGAATCCAGTCATTACTGGGTTTTCCAGTTTAATGTCGCTATCACTGTGCAAGGACAGTTAGACTTGTGAAATTGTGGGGCATTGGAAACGTTACTAGAAGTGGCCAGGAAAATTTTATGCCCTTCTTTTGTTTTCCCTGTCTGATGCTGT